GGCCATAACACCTTCGCTCCGTTACCTGAACGCAGCTCTGCCTTTCATCAATCCGCAACGCTGCGCTTACGTCTACTGGTCTGCCCCATGTGGCGCGTCACGTCCGCGTCCATCCGCAGATCTTTCCGCCGTTTGCCTCAGGCGGCCGCTTCCCCAGCAGCTCTCGTCCCTTCCGCGCACCCATCGCCTGGCGTCACCTCCGCGACGAGATCCAAGCTATGCGACTCGGCCGCATGCCCGCCGCAAACGCCCTCGCGCGTCGTCGACGAAAGCCGACCTCTTGCGCTTGATTCGCCCAAGATCCTCTCAATCGCGGGCGCTTCGAGATGGTTGAGTGTGGCAGGCGGACAAACGGGTTTAGGAATGGGGACGGGCGGAGTGAGGTGGCGGAGCGCGGTCAGTGGCGCGGGAGGCGGCGGAGATGACGGCAGCGAAACCGACGGTCAGGGCGGCGAGTTGCCGCCGGCAGCTGTGGCGGTGGAGGGAGAATCGTCGGGCGGTGACGTGGCTGACGCGGCTGATGCGTGTGAGTGTTTCTTCCCCTTGCTCACTCCGCTCGCGGCCACGTCGCCGCCCGTTGCGCGTCACGATCCCTCTTCACCCATCACCCACCCCCCTCCCGGGACACTATGGACACTTCTCCGTCCGCTCCCAACCATTCCCCTTCCGCCCCCAACCCTCCCCCTCCGCCCTTCCAATCCCCCGCGGACCCGCCAGCGCCGCCCGCGGCCATTGCGCCATATCTGGCGGCGGTGCAGGGCGTGGGGGCGGGGCGGCAGCGGAGGCGGCGGCAGTACGGGACGTACGGGGACGACGTGGAGGAGGAGGTGGAGGGCTTCGAGGAGCCCGCGGACGAGGCGCAGTACCGCCACCTCTACGACGCGCGCGGGGTGGTCGACAAGTGGCTCGGCGACCCTGCACTCTGGGGCATGCTGTCAGGTAGGGACGATTGCAGAAGGGGAACGAGCAGGAAAGGCAGGCGAAGAGAGGAACATAGGTTTGTGCGGAAGGTCTAGGCATCGTTAAGAGGGTGCACTTGTTCCTGCCACACCTGTGAAACTCCTTGCACTCTCCTTTCATTCTCTGCTACAACACTCACCCGTTGTGCTGAACCTCAGTACTTACCCTCAGTACTTACCCTCAGTACTTACCCTCTGTACTTACCCTCTGTACTTACCCTCTGTACTTACCCTCTGTACTTACCCTCAGTACTTACCCTCTGTACTTACCCTCTGTACTTACCCTCTGTACTTACCCTCTGTACTTACCCTCTGTACTTACCCTCTGTACTTACCCTCTGTACTTACCCTCTGTACTTACCCTCCGTACTTACCCTCTGTACTTACCCTCAGTACTTACCCTCAGTACTTACCCTCTGTACTTACCCTCAGTACTTACCCTCTGTACTTACCCTCTGTGCTTACCCTCAGTACTTACCCTCTGTACTTACCCTCAGTACTTACCCTCCGTACTTACCCTCAGTACTTACCCTCAGTACTTACCCTCTGTACTTACCCTCTGTACTTACCCTCTGTACTTACCCTCTGTACTTACCCTCCGTACTTACCCTCCGTACTTACCCTCCGTACTTACCCTCTGTACTTACCCTCTGTACTTACCCTCTGTACTTACCCTCTGTACTTACCCTCTGTACTTACCCTCTGTACTTACCCTCTGTACTTACCCTCTGTACTTACCCTCTGTACTTACCCTCAGTACTTACCCTCTGTACTTACCCTCTGTACTTACCCTCTGTACTTACCCTCAGTACTTACCCTCAGTACTTACCCTCTGTACTTACCCTCTGTACTTACCCTCTGTACTTACCCTCTGTACTTACCCTCAGTACTTACCCTCTGTACTTACCCTCTGTACTTACCCTCTGTACTTACCCTCTTTACTTACCCTCTGTACTTACCCTCTGTACTTACCCTCTGTACTTACCCTCTGTACTTACCCTCTGTACTTACCCTCAGTACTTACCCTCAGTACTTACCCTCAGTACTTACCCTCTGTACTTACCCTCAGTACTTACCCTCTGTACTTACCCTCTGTGCTTACCCTCAGTACTTACCCTCTGTACTTACCCTCAGTACTTACCCTCCGTACTTACCCTCAGTACTTACCCTCAGTACTTACCCTCAGTACTTACCCTCTGTACTTACCCTCTGTACTTACCCTCTGTACTTACCCTCCGTACTTACCCTCCGTACTTACCCTCTGTACTTACCCTCTGTACTTACCCTCTGTACTTACCCTCAGTACTTACCCTCTGTACTTACCCTCTGTACTTACCCTCTGTACTTACCCTCTGTACTTACCCTCAGTACTTACCCTCTGTACTTACCCTCTGTACTTACCCTCTGTACTTACCCTCAGTACTTACCCTCAGTACTTACCCTCTGTACTTACCCTCTGTACTTACCCTCTGTACTTACCCTCTGTACTTACCCTCTGTACTTACCCTCAGTACTTACCCTCTGTACTTACCCTCTGTACTTACCCTCTGTACTTACCCTCTGTACTTACCCTCTGTACTTACCCTCTGTACGTACCCTCCGTACTTACCCTCCGTACTTACCCTCAGTACTTACCCTCAGTACTTACCCTCAGTACTTACCCTCAGTACTTACCCTCAGTACTTACCCTCTGTACTTACCCTCTGTGCTTACCCTCAGTACTTACCCTCTGTACTTACCCTCAGTACTTACCCTCCGTACTTACCCTCAGTACTTACCCTCAGTACTTACCCTCAGTACTTACCCTCTGTACTTACCCTCTGTACTTACCCTCTGTACTTACCCTCCGTACTTACCCTCCGTACTTACCCTCCGTACTTACCCTCCGTACTTACCCTCCGTACTTACCCTCTGTACTTACCCTCTGTACTTACCCTCAGTACTTACCCTCAGTACTTACCCTCTGTACTTACCCTCTGTACTTACCCTCTGTACTTACCCTCTGTACTTACCCTCAGTACTTACCCTCAGTACTTACCCTCTGTACTTACCCTCTGTACTTACCCTCAGTACTTACCCTCAGTACTTACCCTCTGTACTTACCCTCTGTACTTACCCTCTGTACTTACCCTCTGTACTTACCCTCTGTACTTACCCTCTGTACTTACCCTCCGTACTTACCCTCCGTACTTACCCTCCGTACTTACCCTCCGTACTTACCCTCTGTACTTACCCTCTGTACTTACCCTCAGTACTTACCCTCTGTACTTACCCTCTGTACTTACCCTCCGTACTTACCCTCCGTACTTACCCTCCGTACTTACCCTCAGTACTTACCCTCTGTACTTACCCTCTGTACTTACCCTCTGTACTTACCCTCAGTACTTACCCTCTGTACTTACCCTCTGTACTTACCCTCTGTACTTACCCTCTGTACTTACCCTCTGTACTTACCCTCTGTACTTACCCTCTGTACTTACCCTCTGTACTTACCCTCTGTACTTACCCTCTGTGCTTACCCGCTGTGCTGTTCCCCGCATGCTGTCGTCCTGGATCCTGCGTTTTCTCTGTGCAGCGGATGCGTTAGGAGGCGATGGGGAGGAGGAGGAGGATGAGGGGGAGGGTCCGGAGCTGAGATGGGAGACACGGATGGTGCTGGGGCCGGGTGAGTCCACCGCATGCATGCATGCATGCACCGCTGCTCTCTGCTGCCACCCAGCCATGGCGCCATGTTTCTCCGTATGGTTTTCATATCTTTCCAGAATATTTTCACACTCCCGCATCTTGGTACACCAGCTGTTGTGTTGCCATGTTTCATTGCATGCCATTGCCTTGCTGCCATCATCCGTGCCTGCTTCCATTCACTACCTCACCCACACCACAACCCCTGCATACCCCGCCTGCCCCCTGCTGTCCTGCCGGCAGGAGGCGACGCGTGGCACCCGGCGAACCGCAAGGTGAAGGTGAGCGTGTTCGTGCGCGAGCTGCCCCTCTCCCGCCTCGCCAACCACCGCCTGCTCGCGCTGGTGGGGCGGCGCTACAACGCCCACCGCGACGAGCTCACCATCGTCAGCGAGAGGTGCGTGCCACCCGATCGGCCTTCAGCGAGAGGTGCGTGCCACCCGATCGGTCTTCAGTGACAGCGGCCTTAGATGCAATGGGACTCGGTTTCGGTTGTGCAGCAGCAGCAAAGCTGGTCGGAGGTCCATCGTACACGCTTCTCACATGAATTTGGCTCCTTCACCCCCTGTCATGAAATTTCATAGTGCTTGCGCGCATGTGTGTGTGTGTGTGTGTGTGTGTGTGTGTGTGTGTGTGTGTGTGTGTGTGTGTGTGTGTGTGTGTGTGTGTGTGTGTGTGTGTGTGTGTGTGTGTGTGTGTGTGTGTGTGTGTGTGTGTGTGTGTGTGTGTGTGTGTGTGTGTGTGTGTGTGTGTGTGTGTGTGTGTGTGTGTGTGTGTGTGTGTGTGTGTGTGTGTGTGTGTGTGTGTGTGTGTGTGTGTGAGCGCGCGCGTGCGCGTATGTGCGTGCGTGGGTGCATGTGTGTGCGTGCGTGCATGTGTGTGCGTGCGTGCATGTGTGTGCGCGCATGCATGTGTGTGCGTGCGTGCATGTGTGTGCGCGCATGCATGTGTGTGTGCGTGCGTGCATGTGTGTGTATGGGGATGGTTGGCCATGTGCATGCACGGCGCACTACAGGTACCGTCACCGGGAGGAGAACCGCAAGGACGTGTTTCGCATTCTGCATGCGCTGATCGCCGAGGCAAAGAAGGCAGACCAGCTCGCAGCTCAGGCGCTGGCTGAAGCTGCTCCCGTCACACGCTCCCAGGCCCCCTCCTTGCCGTAGATGCCATGGCTGCTTGGGAATGAAGGGTCCAGCCCAGGGCCAGAAATTGGACTTCTGTCACTCTTGCCAATCAGGGTGAAAGTTAGTTTTACACGTTCTCCCAGTGTAATTGTTTCGGCGACACTGATGGAATCAGGCCAAATTTAGATAAAGTTTGAGCTACACTAGCACATAAAGCCAAAACCCGTTTCTTCACCTACGCTGAACCGTCCTGCACTGCGGCAACGACGCTGCTGCCATCCCGACATGGTTGCTCCTGCTCCACCCTAATGTAGCTGACACACCGCCCATGCATGGTTGCTCCATGCATGGTTGCTGTGAATGCATGCTTGCTGTGAATGCATGGTTGCTGTGAATGCATGGTTGCTGTGAATGCATGGTTGCTGTGAATGCATGGTTTACAGCTCTGTTGTAGTCGAAGCCTGTTGGACGGGCGGGAGGGGAGGAAGTCACTTAGTGAATGTGGTGGACATACCAATCTACCGTTGCAATTCTGAAACCCATAACAGGCAGCTTGCCACGGAAGAGTAGGTGCAGCTGCTTTTCAGCTTCAATGTTGTTGCTGGTCGTTGGTCGTTGGTGAGTACGTTGAATCCAACATGCGATGCTCCACACTTGATTACCCCTCTCGCGTATTTCACCACCAAGGGAGAAGGGGGAGCGCTGCTGACATGGCAGTGCGTTTGAGCGCGAGGAGCAGAGGCGAGAGAGGGGGAGGCGAGGCGCAGCAGCGGCGACGCGAGGTGGCGCGTGAGGACGGCGCGGATGAGGGTGAGTCATGGCGGCATGGCGGCACCTGATGATGTGGCGGCGCTTGCTGTGGCGGTGGTGGCAGAGGTGGGTGGGCAGGCAGCCCCAGTGCGCAGGCAGAGATGCACGACGACACCGACATGGCATGGCTTGGTGTGGCGCCCAGCAGCCATGGCGTGGCGATGGCGTCATGGGCGCCCCGTGAGCGACACGGAGAGCAAACCAACACGGCACGCGCAGCCCATGCCTGGCATTCCCTGGGAGCGGGGAGATGGGGGGAACGGGAGAGGGTGGGGTGGAAACAGACGGGAGAGGGGGGAGATTAGGGGAGTGGGGGGAGATGAGGGGAGATGGGGAGATGAGGGGAGATGGGGAGATGAGGGGAGAGGGGGAGATGAGGGGAGAGGGAGAGATGAGGGGAGAGGGGGAGATGAGGGGAGACAGGGAGATGAAGGGAGAGGGGGAGATGAAGGGAGAGGGGGAGATGAAGGGAGAGGGGGAGATGAAGGGAGATGGGGAGATGAAGGGAGAGGGGGAGATGAGGGGAGAGGGGGAGATGAAGGGAGATGGGGAGATGAAGGGAGAGGGGGAGATGAGGGGAGAGGGGGAGATGAAGGGAGATGGGGAGATGAGGGGAGAGGGGGAGATGAAGGGAGAGGGGGAGAGGGGGAGATGAAGGGAGAGGGGGGGGCGCGTGAGACGAAAAAGGCGGAGCGGAGATGTGGATGCATCCCGAGTAGAGGCTTTGCGCGCTTGTGGGTGTGTGGTGCGTACAAGGTATTTCCTCACAAGCTAACTCATCACCGCTGTTGCTGACTTCACCCAGACTGCCTGAGTGTGGGAGCGTCTGACAAAGACAAAGCTATCAGCGCGAGGCAGGCGAGAGGTGGGCAACGCGAGCCGCGATCACGCGGGCTGGCAGGCAGGCGGCAGGTGTTCAATGCGACGGACCGGCGCGCGTGGGAAGAAGACATCAGAGAAGGGACGGGGGGGCGACGGGAGAGACGGCGGGCCGACGGGAGAGACGGCGGGGCGACGGGAGAGACGGCGGGGCGACGGGCTTGACGAGGAGTAGAGCAGTACGCGTGAGACACGCTGGTCGGTGTCACGATGCCTACCATACCTCTCGAGCAATCCACGAGTCAGCCGGTGAGTGCCATATAGCAGGCTGCAAAGAGCGCGCGGCGTGGCACGCAAGGGTTGCAAGGCGGTTAAAGCGAGAAAAGGGAGCGCTGTTGACGTGGCAGTGCGTTTGAGCGCGAGGAGCGGAGGCGAGTGAAAATTTTAAACTATAGAATTAATTAACCTGGATGTGCTAGGCATGGGGATGTAGCTCAGATGGTAGAGCGCTCGCTGAGCATGCGAGAGGTATGGGAATCGATACCCCACTTCTCCATCTCTTTGTCCTTTTCTAGGACATCACACTAGCATGCGAGAGCCTCTTTTCGTCTCACAGAACGAAAGCGCATTGCTTGCCTCTCCTATTCGAGAAAAACTCGCAGGGCCATCCCCCTCGCCTTTTATCGCGCTCCGCCACCACCCAACCCAACTCATCTCCGTTGTTTCACCTGCCTTTTTTTTTCACCCTCGCGTTCTCCCCTGCGCCGCGCTCCCTCCGCGCCATTCCCCTCTCTTCGCGCTTTCCGCAATGTCCCCATTCGCCTCCCTGTAGCTGCGCGCTTTCCGCAATGTCCCCATTCGCCTCCCTGTAGCTGCGCGCTTCCCTCGCCATGTGCCTCCCCGCTTCCCCCTGGCTGCGCGCCCTCGCGCTCGCCTGCCTACGTTGCCATCTCCTTCCCCCCCCACCTCCCTCCTCTCCGCCTTTGATTCCGGAGGCGGAGAAGGCAGGGGAAGTGAGGGCCGGGGATGCGGGGAACGAAGGGGGAACGGAACTAGGCGCACGACCGTTTGATGACGCGGCGTGGGGGAAAGGGAGACGAAGGAGGAGGGGACAGGGGAGGTGGGGGTAGGTCGGGTAGACCTGTTTGCGCTGGCAGCAGAGGCGGGGCGAGAGAGGGAGGCGAGGCACGGAAGGGAGGGGGGAAAGGGAAGGGTGAGGAAGATGTGACACTATATATCCAGCACTGGATGATAGGTGGGTGGGTGGGAGGGTGGGTGGGTAGGTGGGAGGGTGGGAGGGTGGGTGGGTGGGTGGGCGGTTGCAGTCTTCTACCCTACAACTCTTCACACGAGTTGTCTCATGCACACCTGCTTTTCCCCACGCCCACTCCGCTGTCCCGTTTCCCCCAGCTCCCCCGTGTGGCGCTAGCAGCGCATGCAGCAGCGCTTGGAGTAGGCGGGGGTGCAGGCAGGGCGCGATGGGCAGCACCTGTAGGCTGCCATCAGCGCCGCCGTGCAGGTGGGTGAGGGTGAGGGCACGGGCAGAGGGCCACGAGCAGCAGCTGTAGGCTGACGTGAGCGGCCCCATGCAGGTGAGTTAGAGGATGGTGGGATGCGAAAGGAGAGGTTGCGTCACGACTGTTCATCTCTGCGCACCATCAATCCTAATCTGGACCCCTTATGCGCACTCAACCCTTGTTTTCTCCTATTTTTGTAGCTTCGTAACTTGTGAATCTTGGGGATTTTCCCACCCACACCCACATCACTAGTCTTGGTTGGGGCAGGTGCATTTGAGAGGTCACTTGGAGGCTACACTCGTGTGAAGGTGCAGTATGAACTAGTAATGCGGGGTATCTCGCTCACGGCCCTGCACGGCAATACCAGTATGAGCTTTGTCCATCCATGGAGTCGATGAGGTTGAGCTGAGATGGTGAGCACGTGCAAGTGAGACCACTATGGAGAGCATGCCATTGCCCGTTGGTGTTTGTTACAACATGGTCGCTCCTTTTCCTGAATTCTGGTTTCACACCCATGTTTAGTTTCTCCCGCGTCTCTCCGTCACCTCTCCCAATCCCCACAAACTCCTCTCTCCCCACCAGACACCCCTGTTCCCCATCCCCACCCCAACCCATCCCAATCCCCATGGCCGCTAGAATGTGCAGCAACTGCATCTGGACCGCGCATCGCTGGGGGATAGCATTGGTGGGCAGGAGGAGAAGGACGTGAGGGCTGGTGGGGCACGATCTTGGACCCATGGCAGCGCCGAGAACCTTTGAAAGTGGAAGCGACTATAAGGGCGCTTGCATTGCCATTCGTCCACCTTGCATCTCTGGGATGGAATAGGGGGCCCAGTGTGGCCCCATCTCATCCGTCCGTTCCCTTACTCTCTCACCTCCATTACTACCGTCATGCACCCCCATGCTCCACTCTCTCTCCCTCTCCCTCTCCCTCTTCGTCTTCCCTTTCTCTACCTTCCCCCCCACACACCATGACAACCGGAGGAGCAGCAAGGTCTGCACTTCATTCCTAACAATCCCTTCCCCTCCTCTCCCCAGCCCCCTCCCTCTCCCACCCCTCCTGCGCGCAGCGGCGTAGAGGCAGCAACAGGTGGACTGGTAGGCGGTGCTGAGGCAGTCCATGCTGGCGCAGCTGAGAGCGGTGGACGTCCGGGGGGACTGGTGGGCCAGGCTCAACCTCACAGGGCAGCAGACCAGTGGCAAGGTCAACAGCATGCCGGATGGGGCTGGTAGCAGGTGCAAGGGTGAGGTGGGGACACTAGGAGTGGTCCACGCTGCATGAGTGGGGAGGAGGCGATGCTATGAGAGAGTGGCTCAATCTGGTAAGTGTGTATATGAAGCGTTGATGCAGCGAGGTGACTTTTGAGTCGACTCACAAGTCGCCTAGTTGCAGTGTGCAGTCCTCACTCAACTGAAATCCCTAGTGAGGGACTTTGCAAAATGACGCGCCCCTAACTACGGGCTTCAGTTGAGTGCAGTCCAGTCCATGGAGCATGGAGGCACATGGCAATCCAACCATGGAGCATGGAGGCACATGGCAATCCGTCCATGGAGCATGGAGGCACGTGGCAATCCGTCCCTGGTAACCGGTTGATGCTCTTAAGATTCCAGCACAAGCTCAAGAGAGTGAAGCATTGAGGCACTACCAAGAGGGGAGATGCCATGCGTTCAGAGAAGTGATGAGCAGGGTAAGGAGGTTGCACGGAACCCTCCATGCGCTAGCCAGAAGGTTATTGCTGTGGAATGGTAATTATCATGGAACACATTTGGATGCAGTCGGAGCTCGTGTGACTCGCGAGAAAAGAGCATATGCACGAGGCTTATTGTCATGCAAGAGCGTTGTCACCTTTGCCTCTCCTTACCACTTGCTCTCACAAGTTCTTGCACTTGACTCTTGTGTTGTCCTCGGTTTCCTGGCCTACCTCTTATTCGATCCTCGTTTTTTCAACAGCCAAGTCCGAGTTTTCCTCCCGCCCATCCCCGTTTACCCTGCTCCTCATCGTCTCTCATCCATCTCTTGTTCGACTCCGAGCAGCCCGACCACCCCAAGGCGGTCGCCCACGGGGGGGGGGGGGGGGGGGGGGCTGCTGGTGGGGGCGAGCAGGGCAGTGCGGTGGAGTATGGGGAGTATGATGCTCCAATGGCGGAGTACCATGATCACATCGTTAAGGAGGTTGCTTAGTTGAACCGACTAGTCTTTCGCAATAGCTAGCATGGCTTGGTGTGCGTACCGACCAGCCATTTTATTTTCTCTGTGAATCCCTGCAAGAACCCTGCCCACAGGAACAGTTCGAAGCAAGAAATCACTACCGTCCTCGCCCGGATATAAGACATATATGTCTTATCTTATGCAATAGAAAAAATGTTAGGGTTATCCTTTATTGAACCCCCTTCTTTGGCCAAACATCTCCTCTCCCGTAACTCTCGCTATGCCTACGGTTCCTACTCTCCTAGCCTAAGATACTATCTCAACATGGCATTAGAGCAGGTAATTTCCTCGGACCTAAGAAATATGGGCCCACCAGTCGCGCAGCCCGTTAGCACGCCGCGTGCTGGCTGCCCCGTCCCACAATGCTCGCCCCGTCGCGCTCTGCCCGTGGCAAGCGTGCCAGCGAGCCGACGGCGGGCGCCAGCGCCAGCGCCAACGGCGGGCGCCAGCGCCAGCGCCAACGGCGGACGCCAGCGCCTGCGCCGACGGCAACGCCTAGCGCCAACGGCGGTCTCCAGTGCCAGCGCGGACGCCAGCGCCGACGGCGGGCGCCAGCGCCAGCGCCAACGGCGGGCGCCAGCGCCAGCGCGACGCCAACGCCCAGCGCCAGCACTTCCACCAGCGCCTGCGCATGGGGGGGAGGGGGATGAGGGGGTGGCGGGAGAGCTTCTGCCGCGCCAGCCACCTCCTCTCCTCTCCTCTCCTCTCCTCTCCTCTCCTCTCCTCTCCTCCTCTCCTCTCCTCTCCTCTCCTCCTCTCCTCTCCTCTTCTCCTCTAGCCGCCTCCTCCTCCGCTTGTTTGCTCCTCCAGCCGCTTCTCCTCGGCTCTCCGCATGTGCGCCACCAGCTTCCTCCTCCTATCCAACGGTTGGTGTTAATCACCAGCATCCTACGCCCTCCGGTTATCCCAACCCTCCTCCGCGCCCTCCGCGCCCTCCTCCGTTATGGCGTTCACAGGTGCTACCGGTCAGCAACCGCTGTTTCTGTGCATATCCCAGCTACAAGCAACCGCTCTCCAGGCGACCTGGTGCCAGACACCACTAGCTATAGCCATAGGCAGTTACGGGGGTGTGTTAATTGATATTGCATATCTTATAACTGCCTATAGCTTGCTAGTGTATTAGTTTAGTTATTAGCATCAATTGCTGGTGGTGTACCCTTTTCTTCTCCCTTCCTCTTTCCTATATCTTGTATGATTTGCCTTTATTGAACCCCCTTCTTTGGCCAAACATCTCCTCTCCCGTAACTCTCGCTATGCCTACGGTTCCTACTCTCCTAGCCTAAGATACTATCTCAACAGTCTTGTATTTGGGGAGGTTTTGGGTGTCTTATAAGTCTTATAAATAGAAACAATTTAAAATACTTCAAATAACTTTCATGTATCTTGAAATGAGTTTCTCATAATAATTGTGGATATTGCAAAGGTTCCTACGTGGCCGAAATCGCTACAGTACATTACGGTTTCGATTATATCCCCCCCCCGCCCCTCTTGTCCCCTCTCTTCATTGGTCTGATTTCGATCAGCCGCCTTCTGTCCCCTTCCCCCCCCCCCTCCCTGCCTCCCCTTCCGCCCCCCCGTGCCCCTCCTCCCCCACCAGCCTCTATTGCCCCCCCGTTAGATGTCATCTCTGGCACCTCCCCTCCTGCCTCTTCCTCTTCGGCTCCCATGCCCTCTTCCCCTCCGATTCTCTCTCCTCCTCTTCCATCCGTTACTGTTCCCCCCCCTTCCCCGTGTTCCATGACCCGCACACTCTCCAACTTTCAGCACTATGCTCTTTTCACTCGCCTCTCTCCATCCACGATCTTGATTTTCTCGAGGATCGCTTTGAGGAGTTTTTCTCTATTCACACTGTTTCTCCTCTCCTCTGCGTTACCATCGGCGACTTCAGCAATTCTTCCACTCTTCTCTCTGTTGACACCGCTGCTATTCCCACCCCTCAGTCCTATTCCAAGGCCGTGTCGGGCTTTCACACCACTAAGTGGATGGCTGCTATCATTGCTAAGTGTGAGGCGTTCATCAGGACTCATTCGTACATTGACTCTGCTCCCCTCCCCTAGTGTTACCATTGTCAAAGGCAAATGGGTTTTTCGTATCAAGCAGCTGCCCGGAGAGCTCCCTGTCTTCAAAGCCCGTTATTGCGCCAAGGGCGTCACCTAACGTGAAGGCATTGACTACTTTGCCACTTACTCCTTCACTGCTCGTCTCCCCACTCCCCGTTTCCTTCTTGACCAGGTGCTCGTTGGAATTGGGAGATCCATTCCATGCATGTCTCCAATGCCATTCTTCGGGGCAAGCTTCATGAGCGCATATTCCTTGAGCGCCCTGCTGGCTTTCCTTGCCCCTTCCCTTTAGGCACTATCTGGGAGCTAAAGCGCCCTGTGTATGGCCTCAAGCAGGCCCCGCGCAAGTGGCATGCCAAGCTCGCCTCCACACTTCACTCTCTTGGCTTCTCCACCTCACCTTCCGATCCCAGTCTCTTCATTCGTACCCCCCCCCACAGGCTTTACATTCTTGCCTACGTGGATGACTTGGTGCTGCTCGCTAAGGACTCTGCCGATCTTGCCGCTGTCAAGAAGGACCTCCAGGCCCGTCTCCTGTGCAAAGATCTTGGTGAGCTTCGCCACTACCTCGGCATGGAGATTCTCCGTTATCGTGCTGCACGCACCTTCTCTCTTTCTCAGATCTTCTACATCCACTCCATCCTCTAGCGGTTCAAAATGTCGCAGGCCAAGCCGGTTTCCACCCCTCTTCCGGATAATCATCAGCTTAATGCCCCTGCGGTCCCTGCTCCCTCCTCTGACTTGCGGCCATATCTTGAGATCGTTGGGTCACTCATGTATGATATGATGTGTACTCGCCCCGACCTTGCGTACCCCCTCAGTGTCCTCTCTCGCTTTGTCGACCTAGGTCTCCACACTTACGTGCACTGGGTGGCTGCCAAGCGCGATGCGGTATCTCCGCGCCACCTATGATCTTGCTCTCAACCTTGGTGGCTCCGCCCCTCCCGTTCTCTCGGGTTACAGCGACTCTTCCTATGCCGACTCTCGCCCTGATCACCGCTCCTCTCAGGGATATGGCTTTACTCTTGCCTCATCAGCTGGCGCTCCACTCGCTCCTCCTCTGTCTGTATTTCCTCCTGCGAGGCTCAGCTGTACGCTGGCACGTTGGCATCTCAGGAGGCTCGATGGCTCTCCTTTCTCCTTGCAGCGATGGGCCACTCTCAGCCCTCTGTGACGCTTGCATGTGATAGTGCGAGCATGGTTCATCTCACTGAGAATCCTGTCTATCATGCTCGGAGCAAGCACATAGAGGTCTGCTACTTCTCCGTGCGCGAGCTGGTGCAGTTTGGCTTCCTTTGCCTACGCAAAGTGGCCTCCGATGCCAACCTTGCTGACATTTTCACCAAGGCCCTCCTTTGTGTGCTGCACTGTTCCTACGTGTGTGCGCTTGGACTCGCTCGTTTCGCCACTTCTGGGGTGTTCTGCTTTGCTAGGTGCTCTGTTCGAGATCTTCACCTAGCCTGGGGGTGTGTTGGAGTAGGCTAGAGCTCGCTCTGGTATTTATCATGGTCATATTTTGTTACTTCGCCATGTTTAGCGCAAGTTAGCTTTAGGGTTCAGTTAAGGTCCATTTCGTAGTTTTTTAGCATAAACTGAACACACCCTAAGTTCAATTAGGGTTTCCAACTCCTTTCTTCAATTGTACCTCGATGCTTTGGCTAGTACAACTTCTCTCTTGCTATCTTCTCTCACGGCAGCCATGGCTCTCCTTAAGTCACTCTTAACACAGAGGCGGTAGCAGCAGCAGCGGCAGCAGCAGCATCAGCAGCAGCAGCAGGAGCAGCGGTAGCAGCGGCAGCAGCAGCAGCAGCAGCAGCAGCAGCAGCAGCAGCGGAAGCAGCAACAGCAGCAGCAGCAGCTGTTGCAGTAGAAGCGGCAACAACAACCTCGTCCTGTATTTCTTAGGCTTCCATGTTCGTCCGCTGACTGTGAGCCACCCTCCTTTCTCCCGTTGCCCCTTGCGGACCATGCTACGGCTCATTTTCCTCCTCGTTTACAGTCTCCTCCTCTCCTTCCTGGCCCGTCTCATCTCTCGTCCGCCTGGACTACTCGTCGTAACCCTCGTGCTCGTCCCTCGTCCCCTGTTCCTTGTTCCGTCCTATTCGCCTTCGATCCTCCCGTCCTCGTGTGTCTCCTCCTCCAATTCCCTCTCCTCTTCAGTCGTCCCTCACTGTGTTGCGTCCTCTGGTCTCTGAATTCCTCCACACCGCTCGTCCTATAGTCTCTCGTGTTCTGCCCTCCCTTGTTACTCACCCTACGGCTCCTCCACCATCCATGTCAGCTCTTGTCGATGTTGTTACTAACTTTGCCTCCATACACCGCCTTGACTATGCTACTCAGTTGGTCTCTGACACTGCCCATTCTCTATCTGTCGGGTGTGAGTTTGCCTTTGGCTGTGACGTCTCAGAGGACAAGCAGTTTGAGCTAGCACTCCTTGCGGCTGCCGCTTCCCATCTCTGTGCCATGCTCCTAGTCTCTGAGGGTGACCCAAACGTGTTTGATATCCCGACTCCTCGCACCTACTCTTGGGCGATTTCCGGACCTTGGGCCTCGCAGTGGATAGCAGCCAAGGCAAAGATGGCATCTTGGAGGTCCACATGCACCTACATTGACGCAGCTCCCCCTCATGGGGCGAACATAGTCGATGGCATGTGGATCTTCAAGGTGAAGCGGCCGCCTGGATCGCCACCTGTCTTCAAGGTGCATTTTTTGCAAGAGGCTTCAGTGAGCGAAACGTAATTATTGCACGCCTTTTTAATTTTGGCCCACAGCTCCTCCGGCGGCGGGTAAATTTGGGTCTGGAACATAAAGATCGGCATGATGTAGTTGTTGATCACCGTGATTCGCGCCATCGTTAGGAGATGCTGAAGTTCCTACTTGATCAACTCCCCTTTCTCTCGGTCCCATGCTTTCTCCCAGGACGGCGCAACGTGATCCACACTCCGAACAGGCACTTAGGCACCCCTTCTTCCACCCATTTAAATGTATTCCCTGGCACCGAGGTCTTTCCTTTGTTTCTCCCGAGCGGCATGACGATCGATTTGTCCTGGTTCGTGCATAGGCTGGATACACCGCCGAGCTGCCGCTGACCAGAGTTGCTCAGCCCCTCAAAGCACCAAGGACGTTTTGTCGCACATATGCGACCTCCTCTCCGCCTTCTGCCTTCACCCTCAGCCTTCGCCGAGCATAGCGGCTCCAGAGCGCAGATAATTGGTAAGACGCTAGCGGGGACCCTTGCCTCACTCCCCATTGCATCTCCCCATTGCATCTCCACTCTGTCCCTAATCCTGCAGTTGATTGCGATTTTTGTGCCCTATTCCTGGTGCAGGCCCTCTGTCCACCGCACAAACTCTGCAGGTATGCCCAGCTTCGCCAGCGTCTTGAAGATGTAAGGCCGTGATATCATATCATAGGCCTTCTGGAAGTCCACCATTAGGAGGTACGAATCCTCCCCACCATTGTCCGCCACCTCAAACGCGTCTGCTACTACCGATACAGCGTCTGCCAAGCTTTGGTATGATATGAAACTGTGCTGATCCTCTGAGGTTAGCAGGTGCAGCTCCCTCTTAAGTCTGTTTGCCAGTACCCTCTCCAGCACCTTGCACACCGTATTGAGAAGAGTGATGGGTATGTAGTTCGTCAGCTGATCCGTTGCACCCTTTTTATGTAGCAGGACCGTCACCACCGTCGTGACCGACTCCGGCAAGGTGCCCGACGCCTCGAACCTCCTCACGAAGTCCATGAAGAGACCCCCAGCAAGTCCCAATGAGTCGCGAACAACTCCGCCGGAAAGCCGTCTTGCCCTGGCGACTTCCCCCTTGGCAGCCCCGCCAACGCCGCCTTGACTTCCCCCTCCAACCATGGGGCCTTAAGGCGGTCCACCGCCTCTCTTGGCAACCTCCTGTCTACTACGATGTCGGCGTCCCCTTGCAACCCGGGATTTTGTCGTGCGATGAATGCTTCCGCAAAATGGGCTGATGCTGCCTTCAGCACCTCTTGCGAGCCTATGTAATACGTGCCTTTGAATTGCACCTCGTTGAAGGTTGTTTTCTCCTTACGCATCTTCACCTTAGCCGACAGGTACGGCGACAGCACCTCGCCCTGCAGCTCTACGGTGAGTCCAGCCAGGACCTGTAGCTTTTTCCTTCGGTTGTTCCTCTTTGACCGGCAGTCGCTCTTTTGTTTTTGCGTTCGTTGGGTCCCCCATGACCAGGTGCCTCAACCGCTCCACCTCCGTCGTGAGATGGCGCACTGTCGCCGCAACCCTTTTCCTCTCCCTCTCGCGCGCTCGCAGCCCTGCCGTGAGTTGTGGGATGCTGCTTTCGAGGGACCACTTGCCTCCTCTAACCAATTCACCAGTGATGTTCTCGATCACCGTCCGCACTCCCTTTCTGTCTTTGTGCACGGCCTGGAACCTCCAGATCCCTGGCCCACTGTCCTGTGATGACGCGGTTGCCAGGCACACGCGGATGGCAAACCAGTGATCTAACAGGTTTCTCGGTACTTCAGAGTGGCACGCCTCTGTCAAGTTGCCCAACAGCGACGTCGACACCAAGCTCTGTCGATCCGGGAGCTCGTCCTTGTCGCCTTCGAGAGGAAAGTATAATCCCTCCTTGTAGTGTGAAGGGCCTGGAAAGCGTCGCGGAGGTCTTGCGCCAGCCACAGGCTCAACAGCCATTGGTTTTCCTTGCATGATTCTGACCTTGACGACCTGTATAGGTCCGAGTTCGCCACCATGCTGAGATCCCCCATCACCACCAGGTGGCTCTTCGCTGGCTGGGACTGCACAAACGGGACGAGATGGTCTGTGTGGAATTTTGTTATGTTGCGCCCTCGTGCCGGGAGGTAAGCCGCCAGAAGCCTGAATGTCACTTCTCCCCCTTCCACCGTCAAACCCCAGCAGCCTCCCCGAGGGGTGCGCCGAGATCTCCGAGAATCGGATGTGTTTAGCAAACGTGAGGACCACTACTCCTCCTGCTGTCTGACCTGGGCTGGGCCCAAGCCATCGGTTTTAACTCGCTGCAAAAGTTACGGTCCTCCTTGATTCTTGTGCCATATTACACTTTTATGTCTGCCATCGTGCTCATCCATCGACGATGTTTGGTTCTTTTGCCGTTGCTCCTGAGGCCGTTCATATTGACCCCACATATGGTAAGTCTTGCAAGGAGGCCCATGCATCCACGGGCTTTGTTACACAAGTTGCAACATGAGACAGACATAGCAGTTGTTAACACCCCCTTTTCCTAACTCCTCCCAGATGTTTTCGCACATGAATGCAGGAACGACGATCTGGGTGATGCGGCAGCTACAACCCGAACTCCTTTCGGATGGCTGCAATTCTCTGCTTCCCCTTGCTCAAGCGAGTGGAGACTCCCGCCTTGAGCTGGCCGGTGTAGTGGCAGACCGACTGAGCGTGCTCTGCCGCTTGCGCAAAACTGGTGCCGTGAGTCTTCCCTCAGTCCTCCTAAACGCAGGTCCACTCCTCCAGAACCCCTCCTGCCGAAGTATGAACAATCGTCGGGTCCATCATAATAGTCTTCGTTGCTATGGTCAGCTTCAGAGAAGCAGCTGCTCGGGGGGGAGGCGACACAGAGATCAGCTCAGGGGTCTGCATCCGCAGTCACTTGAAAAGCAAGGTAATCATAGATACTGTTACCGTTAATCTCATAGAGTCGCAGCAATAACAGACTCAATTTTCCAATATTATCCTGTCTCTCAGTAACATAATCGTCATGAAAGCATGTCATATGCATCCTGCTGCATAAATCGCATGTAAGAGCGGGAAATGATACGAGCAGCTCCTTTCCGTGGATCTTGTCCGTGACCTTTTGCCACCACTTATACTTATCCAGGGGTGCCTGTACAACAGTCCCTTGATCTTGTCTGTGTCCGACCCCGTGACAGGATCGAGGTCCGTGTGGAAGGCAGATCCCTCCAGGACGGTCGTGCGGCCATGCTTGAACAGGAGCGCCGTGACCGAACTCTTACGGAACATCTCCGTAGAAATCACCGCCAGGACCCCCTTGAGGAGTACTTCAATAGCCTCCGGACGCGCAGTACGCTCCTTCAGGTACGCAGTGTTTTCAGGGTGCTGCCAGATCAGCCGCTTGTTGTCCATGGTAGCGTGCTCCACCTCTCGACACCAGATGAAATTTGTGTCCGCTGCATGCAGGAACACCACCTGGAGACGGTCGAAATGAGTCTTGGACAGGTAGGTGGCCGGCAGCTGCTGGAACTTGGTCGTCTCCCTCACATTCCCTGACAAATGTTTCCCCCACAGCAGCAGCAGGTTCTTGATCGTGTTGATGGACCGCGGAACTCGTTTATCCAGGTGTACGGGACCAGCAGCGTGATGGCGAAGCCCGCTTGAGCCGCGATGTCGTTGATCGTCGCTGGATCTTGACATTCATCCGGGTCGTCGCTGAAGTAACCCGCGTCCTTTTCATCCTCCACCGCCTTTTCCTTGCCTTTGTTTGCTGCATCCGGTGCCAGCTGGGAGCTGCTAGCGAACCGTCGCATTATCGCTGTCCATGTCCTCCCCTCCTGCTGGCAGGTCGTCCAGCTTGAGTGCAGAAGTACGAGCCGTCAGCGTGTTGATCATCTCTGCACTGAAGGGTCCAGCAGCACCGTTGAAGAGCATCTTCGGTGTGACCGGCTCGATAAGGGACTCAATGGGCTTCTTCCCTTGAGCACCAACAGAAGCAAGCACACATGAGGAAGGGATGTTGCTGGGAGGAACCATAGTGTGATGATGAAAACCGTGAAGTAGATCTGTGGAGTGAGATCTTGGGACAAAAATGAGCACGGAGAGCACCTTTGTAGGCTTGTGTCTCTTCTTCTTTTTGCGCGAGAATATATACCTGTGTAGCGCCTTGTAATTTTTGGGACGAAAATGAGCACGGAGATGTTGGGTACGATAAAGAATTCATACATGCTTTATTGTACTTGTCAACCTGCTGGCTTTCATCAAGATATATAAATGGCAGATGAGGGAGAAGGCGAATCTCTAAAAGCTGGGTGTGGAATCGGCCAATCTGAGTGAAGCACGGAGGAGAGGTGGTGTTTTGAGCAAGAGAGGCGAAATTCAGTTCAGCCTCTTGATTTTGACCAATAGGAGCAAGGCGCGGATAATAACGTGGCGTTCTGAGCTGCAGCAAGCTGATCGGGAGGAGTTGCTGTTCAAAACGAAAGTTTGACTTTGAGTAAGCAGCAAGCTGATCGGGAGGAGTCAGCAGCTGTTCGTGCTGCGTTATTGTTTCTGCAATTGTGATTGGCTGCTGTTCACACGGAGCGTTCATCACTGAGAGAGCAGCTACTCGCGCTGCTACATTTTGGGTGCTCGGATTGGCTGGTGATCGAGTTGGCAGTTGCTCAAGTATTTGAGCGAGAATGCCACGTGGAGAATAACGCGAGTGTTACTCGCTCGCGAATCGTTTTCAGTGCTGGTGGCGAAACCAGCGAGACGCTCGAGTAAGTTATGTTATGAACAGCACTGTCAGTTCGGATCAAAAGGATGTTCGCGCCTCGACAGAGAGGCACGGGTGGCGAGTCACAGTTCGCTGAAAGCGTGAGCTCGGAATTGCTCGTGACCAACTTTCGAACGGACCTCATCGCAACCGTTCGGATTTGGCGCGAAGAATATTTCTCGGATCGGCACCGTCGAGTTTGTTGACGCGCGAATCTCGAAATGTTTCGCCGACGCGCGTGCCAGGTCAGGAAAGGAATTTGAGGGAAAGTCGATATGTGCTCGCGCTGCGTGAACTGAAACAGGAAAGGTAGAACAGGATAGGAAAAGCTAGAAAGGACTAGGCTAGGTATAAATATGTTTGTGTTTTCTTGTTCATAATAACTTGAGTGAAGGATTTCTTCTGTGCCTGCTGCAAGTACGCTGCCATAGTTCACTATTCTGACAACGCCAAGAAAGCGACGACTGCTACTTCCACTTTTGCTGCTGCTGCGAATTCTCTCTACACAACTCGGACCCTTGGATAGGGGCTGACCTTTGGTCAGGCACCCAAGGACCCTTGGAGGTGACCCCGAGGAGAGTTCCCAGCTTCAAATAAAGTTGATAGTAGCTAGTTTAGTACGTTCTCAAAGCAACAGATATGTGGAGTGAGATCTTGTGACGAAAATGAGCACGGAGAGCTCCTTTGTAGGCTTGTGTCTCTTCTTCTTTTTGCGCGAGAATATATATCTGTGTAGCGCCTTGTAATTCGCCACGATAATGGACTCCTTGATAACATTGTCGCCAGTTGCATGGAAACCAACGCGCATCTCTGGTAACTCACTGAGGATGAAGTTTTGAAAATGACTGACAATAGGTCCTTGCGAACAATGTTCGCTGTATGAACATAAAAAGTGTACCCATGAATTCCTTAAGTCATAAGGATAACAGATCTCGGCTTTAAACCGCCAAGTGATGAGAAATTGATGGACATTGGTGGCGTCGAAGTTCCTGGAAACAGCCATGGCGACCTTGAGGTTGTCATTGAGGTTTAGTGTGCTGCTCGTTTTGTTGCACCTGGGAGACACCGTCTTGTCCAGTGGGAGGACGCTAAGAGGGTTGTGCACAACCTGGCGAGCTCATCAGTCATAAGGCTCGTGCTTGGAGGGAGACGGCTAGTCAGCCTCATTGAGCACAGCGATGCATTGTGTGCAGACGGCCCTGTTGCATGCATTGTTGGATGTGTCAAACTGGTTTGACGCTGGACGCTGGGGAAAAGGAAAAACCGATTTTATTTTTCTTTTTCCAGCGCGAAATTGACGCGCGATTTCAACGCGAACATAATCATGTTGAAATCGCCAACATTGGGTTGCATTTGTTGGCAATAACGACACAACCCACATTCAATCCCCCCCAACACATTTTCACCCCTCCATACTTAGTTTTCCCAACCTGGTCGACCTAGATCTGAACCAAAAGAATAGATCATGGTCGACATTATCACTTCCCCTCTCTTGTCATTTCCTAGTCAGCTCAACCCTAGAATCCACCAGTCGTGCTAGTTAATCTTTCTAATCCATTTTAAGCTAAGTCGATTATGTTTCAATGTCGTCCATTAGTCCCGCTGATCAATCGGGTAGTGGCTCTACACCTTTTGCAGGTGGTATGGGGGAGGAGCACAAGTAAGGCGAAATGCGTAATCATCCCTTTTACAATCACTACCGTATTCTCCCAGGCATAGGACCCAAGGGACTCTCTACAAATTAAAAGAAAAGAAGAAGAAAAATGCTACGGTGAACGTGTAGGTGGCATGCAGTTTTTGAAGTCCCGGGTACACTTATTTTGTCTATCAATGTTATTGGATTTACCATGTACTGTTTGTTTACAGGGTAGGGGGGTCTTATGTTCGTAACGAAAACACCCCACGTGTGCAAATTTCGTACGATCGGCGCGTCATATCTGTGTCAGAATTCGAATCTGACACAAATAGCGTGTCAGAATTCGAATTTGTGCCTCTAAAGCTGACGCAATTGCATTTAAAACTATTGTATACAAGAAAGGGGGGTCTTATAATGATTAGGGTCAAAAAGGGGTTCCTCGCAAAACATGCACAAAATAAGAGTCCCACTCCCCTATGGAGAGTCTCGGGGGACCCTTTTATCGGTGGGTCCTATAGCCGGGAGAATACGGTACTTTTTTTTTTCGTTAAGGACCCCACTAAAGGCAAAACGGCAAAATGCAAGTACTGCAAATTCGGGTTCGTTTCTACTAGCACGCGTTGCACCGACCATCTTGCCGAATGGGAGGGGAAAAAAGCACACGAGATTAGGATATGTCCGAAAGTGCCGAAGGAGGTAGCAGATAGCATCCGCACCATGGAAGAGGCGAAGTTGAACAAGCGGGTAGAGAAGGGGCAGGCGGAGGCGGCGGCCATAGATGCGGTGAGCGGCAGAACCAGCAATGCATTGGGAGTTAAGAGAGGATGCATGTCAGACTTCTATGGAGCGGAGGGGTCGGTGGCTAGGCGTGTGGAGGATGATGCCGTATGTCTCTATTTCGTTGGAATATGCGTTCCCGAATACCATGCCGACAACCCCCTACTCCGCAACATGCTAAGGGCTGTTGCAGCTAGTAGCTATGTTCCTCCGAAGAGGTTCTTCGTGGGCGGGGTGGGCCTGCAGCGGACTCGTAAGCGGATTGAGGAGGGGTTGGATCCTTTGGTAGAGAAGTAGCCGGAGAAAGGAGTCGTCATCGCAAGTGACATGATGAGTGACAGGAATATGCGCGCGCAGGCGAATTTCCTCTGCATTAACGACGAGGGGGGCTGATTTTATGGAGAGTGTAGAGTGCGGGATGGAGAGCAAGACCGCCGGGTACATTGCTGGCCTCATCCGACCGGTCATCCTGAAGGTGGAGCCAGAAATTGTCGTTGCGCTATGCATGGATGGTGCCAACAACTACGCATTAGCAACCCGTTCGCCGGTTGAGGAGTGGCAGCACATCGAAGTGGTTTCGTGTGCCACGCATGTGCTTGACCTCCTCATGGGGGACATAGGGAATTTGGCTTGGGTGCGGAAGGCGGTTGACCGAGCGACCGCAAAGATAACGTTCATGCATAACCACCACTGGACACGTGCGCACTAGAGGAAGGGGGAGCTACACGACGAAAGGGTGCTGCAGGCGTTGCGACGTGCGGGCACTCTAATTGTGATATAATATCTTGCAGTTTCCCGTCTTTGTGAGTTGCGCCCTCACCTGTCCCATATGGTCTCCTATGATGTCTTCACGCAATGGGCTGCATGTGCAAAAGTGAAGGAGGTAGCGGACAAGTTTGAGAAGTACGTGCTGGATTCCGCTTGGTGGAAGGCAGCGGATTTCTTTAGGAAGCTGATGGAGCTACCATACGTCACCATGCGTCGGACAGACTCGGCGACGAAGGGAATGATGGCACACATGTATAACCTGATGCTACAGCTTACGGAGGACATGCGTGCAATGTTGGATGGTGATCAGCAGCAACTGAGCGAGGAGGATAAGGAGCACGTTGGGGAGTTTCTGAAAAGGAGGTGGGATGACAGCCTTGCTTGTGCGCTCCATGTGGCTGGCCGGATTTTCAATCCGGCCAACCAACAAGAGGGTATTTTCCGCAGGAACAGGGAATGTACCAAGGTTATGAAGGAGTACTTGGAGCGTGTGCAGGCTTTCATGGAGCGATGCAAGAGGGGTAGGGCTGGTGGCTTCAAGATGCTCCAGGATGGGATGCTTGCCTATATTAACTATGGGGGGAGTTTCGACACAAAGGTCGCGAGGGAGGCTCGAGAGGAGATCTAGGATGGGAAGGGGGATATGGGGAAATGGTGGCAGTAGCATGGATGCGACTACCCCGAGCTAGTTGACATTGCGCGCCGTGTCCTCGCCTAGCCCGTCTCCGCCTCCTCTTGCGAGGTATTGGGCTGTGTGGGAGGGGGTGCACAGGGCTCGCCGGATCCGGCTAGGGTATGAGAAATGCCATGACTTGGTGTTCGTGGCCCACAACTGGCTGGTGGTGCATAATGCGCACAAGCATCCTGCTGAGGAGGAAGGGGCCGGGATCATTGATGGCAACATCTCGGACCCCTCGGTCCCGGGGGGGTACATTCTGCAGGAGGAGGGGGGTGCGGAGGTGGGATAAGGACGAATATCGTTTGCTTGTTGATGAATATGTGCCTTCCCCCCAAATTCCCTAAGTTATGCATGTGTAACCCTTATTATTGAACGTGTGTGCGAACTTTGTGGATTTTCTGGATTTTCTGGAATTTATGGATTTTTTTTGGAAATGTCTTGGTGCATCCTAACCCCTGTTTAGCCTTACTACCAAGGGATTTTTGCCCTCTGCCCGGGAATTTTTTTTGCCCTGCTAAGACGAGCGTCAAGTGGGCATCCATTGCAGAGGCACCCGGGCGTCCGGCGTCTGGACGGGTCGTCTAGACGCTGGCGTAAAAAACGCCTGACGCATTAGATGGAACATAGAGTTGACTAAGGAAAAATGAGGGTGTACAAAGCACAAGTGCTATACCTTATAAAGCGTAACCCTAGACTATCCTATACAAACTAACACATATAGACAGACGTAAACATATAGTTTGGCACACCCCCTAAGCTAGGCAAGGAGTAGTATCTGAGCAACAACAACATGCAAACTCAGGGCAGCACTAATACTCCAACCTCTGAGACAAACAAGGCCAGTCCAAGTGTTCGCAAAGAGATATGTATATACAGCAAACAACAGTGATCAAGACACAAGCAAGTGAGGACCACAAGTAACTAGTCCGAGCTGAGTACAAAACCGCTGATGGTCGCAAGACGGAAGTGTCTTGGTGAAGATGTCAGCGGTGTTGGCCTTTGAGGCCACTCTAACCAAGGCAGTTCAAGTGGCAGGTTGGGTGGCAGGACGGGCACTAGGTCAAGTGGCATGGCGAGAAGCTGGGCGGCTTAGGCAGGGGAGCAACAGCGGCCTAGGTAGGGAGCTACGAGCTGCCTAGGAAGTATCGCGACAGCAGTCTAAGGCAGGGCACGATAGGGGCTTAGGAAGGGCGCGACGATCGGCCTAGGCAGGGGCACGACTGCGGGCTAAAGCAAGGCACGACGGGTGGCTTAGGCAGGGCACGACGGGCGGCCTAGGCAGGGGTGCCACGACGACCTAAGGCAGCGCACGATTGGCGGCCTAGGCAGAGCGCAACAGGCGGTCTAGGCAGGGGCGCAACGACGGCCTACGGTAGGGCGCGACGGGCGGCTTAGACAAGGCGCGATGGGCGGCTTAGGCAAGGGCACGGCTGATGTATAAGGTAGGGCACGACGGGCGGCATAGGCAGGGCGGGAAGGCAGCCTAGGTAGGACACGTCGGCAGCCTAAGAAAGGCGCGGCGGGTGGCATAGGTAGGGCGCAAGGGTGGCCAGATGCTGGGTGCAATGGGCGGCCTAGGCAGTGGTGCAACTAGCGGCTTAGGCAAAGGCATGACGGGCAGGATAGGGAGGGTGTGGCTGGCGGCTAAGGACGCGTCACAATTGCAATATCGATCATGCGCAGGATCGGTGTTCCGCCGGTACAAGACTTTCGCAATGTCGTCAATCGATGGTTTCCTATTTTGTAAATCTTCGCGAAAGTACATCAGCTTGGTGACAACGATCGCGTCCCCTCGGGGTTAGGCAATCGATCGTGCAATTTTGCCCCATAAATTATCGATTATGCCACTTGAGACTCGGAGTCGACCCGCGATTGCAAACATGCAGTTGTGACACACCGATGTGGCGATTGATTTGGCAGGATCGGTGAATATCCCCGATCCTTCCACGGTGTTTAAATTGTGACGCGTCCTAAGGCAGGGCACGTCGGGGCACGAGGGCGCCATGGGCTGGGTGTGGCATAATAGCTAGGGCAGATGGGGTGGAGAGCATGCATGGGTACAAATTCTAAACCCTAGCTTGTCCAGCACAAACCCAACATGGCCTACCAAAATGTACACCTGAAAACATAGACATTCTTTGTCAGTTACTGCAAAACATGGTAAACCATCAAAAGTCAACAATGTAACACATCCAGAACAGATAGTAATAAAAAAATAACCCGAGGAGGAGCAATGAAAAAGCATAATCTTAAACGAATTATACATGATGTTTATATGCATTGAAAGAATGAAATTCTTATGTATTTCAATGAGATAGAATACAAAATAAACATTCACATTGACAAAATAATGCACCGACAGTACATTGTTTTCACCAATTGTTCAACGAGGTTTTTTCCGCTCAATACTACTATGCACAATTCTCACCATTTGGTGTCTTCTATATAACTCAACCACGCAACATTTATTTTGTATATGAGTTGCCAACTCTCCATCAACACGTAAAATTTATATTGAGAGCTCTATTGGTAGAGTGGTAAATCTTTGTAAAGGCCAAGACACTATGGCTGTAGGATGCCTAGATTGTGTTTCAGTTGCAGGTCGCGACGGTTGCAGGTTATTGAGGGCGGGACAGTGCCGCTGCATATTGCAACAATATATATCTACACTTGTATGAAAACGGGTTGGGGTGCACCGGACGACCTTCGTGCTATGGAGTCGTCCATCACGCTAGTTGAAACCTTCTGTGGCCTGCCACCACTAGCATGACCTCACCGCCAAGCAGCTACGTTGTCGCGGCCGCCATAGCTGTTACGTCCTCCATAATCTGCAAGCGCATCGTTGTGGCAGATGCGGCTTCTAGTACCTGCAGCCGTAGCGATGCCAACTCAACGTTCTGCCATCGGCATGTCAAGACCTCCGCGGTTCTCAGATTCGGCAACGCGACCTCCTCATATTGCAGCTGCTGCCCCGTCGTAACCGTAGGTCTCCCAGCGTCCGTCGCCCCACTCCCCCGTCGCTTGCGCCGCCGTGCATTCCCTGCGTCGAGGGTCGGCAGCGCGCCGCCCCTCACTCCTCGTTTTCCCCTACCATTGCTACCATTGACATTTGGGGCTCTGAGTCTGGGCCACGTCGGGAGCGTGACCTCCTAGTCGTTATGGACGACTACTCTCACCACATCACAGTGTTTCCTTTACAGCGGAAGGGGTGCACTGACATGATACATGAAGGTACGAGCGATCTCAATGACCAAGCCAATGCGTCGCTCAGCGACCCCATTCTGCTGTGGCAAGTCCGGCGGCGTGTAGGCCTGGCGGATGCCCTCCGCACGACAGAACTGCTCAAGTTAACCAGAGGTGAACGTACCACCGCGGCAGAGTGCAGACGAAGCACAGGACGGGCATGCTGGGCACGGTCGACCTGCTGGGCGCGGACGACCACTAGCCACGTGAGGAGAGCGTTAGGAACTTACGCCGACCCACCTCTGGAATGGGTCTCCTGGTATTGTCGCCGTGTTTCGTGTCCGGGGGTGTCTTGCTCACGCCCGCGCTCCTCACGCAGACAAGCTCTCTGGTCGCACAATCCCCGTTGTTTTCCTTGGTTTTCCCCTTAATGCTCTTGGCTGGCTTTTCTACCACCACTCGTCCCACCAGTTCTTTAGGTCCCAGGACGTCACCTTTGACAAGCTTGGGTGTTGTGGAGAGTGATGGAAAGCCGGGACTTGGTTTTCCACGAGGAGCTGGGTGGAAGGAGCACGGTGCTAGTACGGTTGGGAGTTCCATCGAGGATCCCTTCACCGCTTCCATCTGTGAGGGGCATGGGAGGACCATAGAGAGGAGGTAGAGGAGCAGCAAGAGGAACAGAAGGCAGCTACACCTCACCATGACGAGCCCCCAACTGCTACTTCCACCACTGACCCTAACGCACCAGCCCATGACCCGCAGCAGCCACAAGGGCAGCAGCAGCAACAAGAGAAGCCGCAGCAGCCACCACAGCAGCATACACCGCCTGTTCTTGTGGGTAGGTGGCAGCAAATACTGCAGCGGGGGCTGTCCAAGTCATTACGTTCCCCCATGAAGAGAGTGGCTTGGAAGAAGAAGCTGCAAAATCTGGAGCAGGGGGGGGCATCGCCTCTTCGCCACAATACACTCATCTTTCGGCTACCTGAAAGGTTTACACCAAATGCACAGTATGCTTGCATGCTTGTGGATGCTAATGGGGGTGAGCTTGGGCTTGATTTCTGTCTTATGGACAGGTGCATGATCATAAGTCGGTTAAGGAGGTCTTGTTCCGTCCTGAGTGGGTGGAGTCCATGTGTGAGGAGCTTGAGTCCCACGAGGTGAATGAGTCCTTTGAGCTGGTTGATCCAGCTAGTGTGCCACCTAGAATGGAGGTCTTGGTGTGTCTCGGGTTTGTGAATTACGTCCGCTGGTTTGTACCAAAAATGGTCGGGGTAACCAACCCGTTAACCAAACTTCTCCACAAGGACGTTTCTTTCGTGGGGAGAGAGAGCATTCGACCTTCGACTAGCTCGAAAACATTTTGAGCTCACCCTCGGCACTTCGGCTCGCAGACCCATCTCAACCGTTCAAAGTCGTTACAGACGCCATCGATTTTGCCATCGGCACTGTCGTTCTACAGGATTCCGGCAAAGGGCTGCAACCCATCGCTAACGAGTCACTCAAAATGCAGCTACCCGAGCGCAACTACCAAGTCCACGACAGAGAGATGCTGGCCATTGTCCATGCACTTCGTACCTGGCGCTGCTACTTGACAGGAGCCGACATGACGATTTGGACAAACCACAAGTCATTAGATTACATGCGAGCCTAGCCGCAACTCAACTCGCGACAAATCAGATTGTAGGATATCTTGGAGTCCAACTTTCACTACGTCATCAAGTACAAAATGGGTGCCAAAACATCGCCGACGCCCTGACCCGACCATCGATGCTGACCGCCGCAATAATCATCACCCAGTCCAACCCACTATTATTAAAACCATTCTCCCACGGGTACAGGGCCGATCATGTTTTAAGCAAAACCATCACCACCGGGCCACGACACCCCACGGGGCGTATACCTAAAAGCCGATACCAAAACGAATTTGGGTCATGTCATATCGGCCCTTCCGAGAGTTGCTGACGCACAAGGTTCATGAGTCTAAACTCTTCGGGCATTTCAGCATCGACAAACCCCTGTAATTATTATAGCGCAATAATTACTGGCCCGACGTGCTGTTGGACGTGCAGCGCTACGTGACTCCCTGCCCGACCTGCCAAGCCATGA